TTTTTTATTCCGGGAGTCTTATCAGTCCTGTGATCAGCCAATGTCCCTTTTTATTCGACGGGGGTCTTGTGCATCTTTTCTCTTTTCTTCAAAAATAATAATAATAATAATAATCAATCATCAAATTCTTTTCATTTCCTTTTGGGACAGAAATATTTGAAACCCTTTCCCTGCATCGCTAATCAGATGTTTTCCATATCTCGGTCTCTCTCTCTCTTTTTTTCTTTCTTTCTTTCTCATTTTGGCTCTTTCTAGAAGCCGTGGTTTGCCATATTGTTTCCTTCTTTTTTTTTGAAAGGATCCACGTTGATGAATTATATTTAATTTTATCAGCCTTTTTTGGTTTTTGGTTGTTTTTTTTTTTTTTTTTTTTGTTTTTTTTGTTTTTGTTTTTTTTTTTTTTTTTTTTTTGCGATAGTGAAATAATTCATTTCTAAGTTTGGAGAAAAGACTCGCGGGAGAGGGGCTGCATGTTGTGAGTCGTTCCATTTTGCTTTTTTTTTCTTCATTATTACTTGTCTTTTATTTGATATTGTTTCTTAAAGCTAGATTTAATTTCAAAACACTTAAAGATAATAGTGCTCAAATCTCTAAGACTAAATGTAAGACTATTCATATGGATTTTGTTAATTAATTAATATTTAATCTCTATTTCCTTCTTTATTTCTTTTCCCCATCCATTCGTACCACATGTCCCACATGCTATAAAATTCCGAATCTTCTCTGTCATTAATTTCTGAAGTCAGTTTGTTCATTTCGGCGCACTCCAATATTTTTCCAATAACATGTTCTTGAGGTGGCGTTTGTTTTTCTTTCCAATACTGGGCAAAGGAAATTCTAGCGGCTGTCAGAATATGTATAATTAAATACTTTTTCTTTTTTGCATATTCAGTTTCCATTTTGCTTTTATCTGCACTTTGGGGAAGGGAAGGGGTGGCGGGGGGGAGAAATCTTTTTGAATGTTTTTGAATGAAAACGGTGGGGAGGAGACGGAGGACGCTGGAATATCGCTGATTAGAATGTGTGCGAAGACGAGGGAATGAACAAACAGATGGTGAGGCGCAGCCTAAACGTAGAAAAGGACAATATAAGGGAAACGGATAGTGGGGGAAAAAGAATCAAGTAAAGAGCAGACGAACCATTCATAATCCGGAATATCATTCATGATTTATGAGAGAGACATCTGGACTCAGAAACTAGACATGGTCAAAGGAAAGAAGCAACTTAGAACCAAGGAGAAATTTCCTGACAGTGAGAACATTTACTCAGTGGAGCAGCTTGCCTTCGGAAATTGTGGGCGCTCCATCAGTGGTGGCTTTTAAGAAGAGATTGGACAGCTATTGTCTGAAATGGTATAGGGCCGTGATGGCGAGCCGTATCAGTGGGCACGCGAGCTCAGCTCTGGCGCGCATGTGTGCGCCGGCCAGCTGATTTTCGGGCCTTCTGGGCCCACTGGAAGTAGGGAAACAGGCTGTTGCCGGCCTACGGAGGACCTCGGGGGTGGGAGTGGGGAAGGCCCATTTTTCTCTCTCCCCAGCCTCCAGAGCCTTTCTAGGAGTCTGGGGAGGTCAAAACAGCCTTCTCCCCCCAGAGGTCCTCCGGAGGCCAGAAACGGCCCGTTTGCCAACTTCTGGTGGGACCGGAAGGCCTGTTTTTTGCCATCCCCAGCCTCCATAGCCTTTCTAGGAGTCTGGGGAGGGTGAAACCGGCCTTCACCACCCCCCTGGAGGCCCTCTGAAGGCCAGAAATGGCCCATTTTGCCAACTTCCAGTAGGACCGGATGGCCTGTTTTTTGCTGTCCCCAGCCTCCAGAGCCTTTCTAGGAGTCTGGGGAGAGCAAAAACGGGCCTACCGTACCATTGTGTGCCAGGAGTGTGGGAACCGTGGGGGGCGGGCGTTGCACATGCATGCACAGGGGCAGGGCGCATAGAATTATGGGTGTGGACATGCACATATGTGCGAGGGGAACCTTTTTGCTTTTACCTTTACAGACAGAATCTCATCATTTTTCCATTGTTGTGCAAATACAATTCTAATTGTAGTCTATATATGCAAGACCAGATATATAATCTTTTTATCGTATTTTTTCTGGTAGAATGCCCAACAAAAATATCTCTAGTTTCAAGTCTATATGTTGCTTTGTTATTTTTTTCCAACCACGTATGTATTCTTGTCCAATGTATAAAAGACAGATCTGCTAAATGTTGGAAGTGTAATCAATCCACCTGGTTCATATTATTATACGTGGTGGACTTGTCCAAAAGCTAAAAAATATTGGATGAAAGGTTTTTATAGTAAGGTAAAAGGTAAAGGTTCCCTTCGCACATCTGTGTTAGTCGTTCCCGACTCTAGGGGGCGGTGCTCATCTCTGTTTCAAAGCCGAAGAGCCAGCGTTGTCCAAAGATATCTCCGTGGTCATGTGGCCGCCATGACTCAATGCCAAAGGCGCACGGAACGCTGTTACCTTCCCACCAAAGGTGGTCCCTATTTTTCTACTTCCATTTTTTTTTTAACATGCTTTCGAACTGCTAGGTTGGCAGAAGCTGGGACAAGTCACGGGAGCTCACCCCGTTATGCAGCACTAAGGATTTGAACCGCTGAACTGCTGACCTTTCGATGGATAAGCTCAGCGTCCTAGCCACTGAGCCACCACGTCCCTTTTGGCTTTTATGGACGGCTCTTAATATGTCCTATTAGCTTGGCAAGCTCTGAATTAATTGACTGCATTAGAGAGAGAGAGAGAGAAAGAGAGAGAGGGAAGGAGAGAGAAGGAGGAGAGAGGGAGAGCCATAAATACATTTTTATTGGGAGGGGTAATTAGGCAGCCCAAGCTAAGTAGCCTTCAAAGCAGATTAGTCTCCTTTGCATACAATTATCCCTTTTCTTTAAGGAGAGCCATTCCTTTCATGTGTCCTTAGCATATTTGGCCAAGGAAGGAATTTTTGCTTCATCTGGAGCATTTTTTTTTTTTAAAAAAATGGTTGGCGACTGGCCGTTTTGTCCTCTTTAATTAAATAGATTTTTTTGGAAAGAGCCGGGATTTCAGCTTTGGTTTATGAGCAGCAGAGAGCATGCACAAAGTGTTTTCCCAAAGAGGTGGAGGATGGGAAACGTATTGTGGCCATAAGGTAGGTGCTGTTTATAGACAGATAACAGAGCAGAACAGAGTTGGAAGGGACCTTGGAGGTCTTCTAGTCCAACCCCCTGCTTAGGCAGGAAACCCTACACCACTTCAGACAAATGGTTGTCCAACCTCTTCTTAAAAACTTCCAGTGTTGGAGCATTCACAACTTCTGCAGACAAGTTGTTCCACTGGTTAATTGTTCTCACTGTCAGGAAATTTCTCCTTAGTTCTAAGTTGCTTCTCTCCTTGATGAGTTTCCACCCGTTGCTTCTTGTTCAACCCTCAGGTGCTTTGGAGAATAGCTTGACTCCCTCTTCTTTGGGGCAGCCCCTGAGATATTGGAACACTGTTATCATGTCTCCCCTGGTCCTTCTTTTCATTAAACTAGAACAGGGATCTGCAACCTTCAAAACTCAAAGAGCCCTTTGGACCCGTTTCCCACAGAAAAGAAAACACCGGGAGCCACAAAACCCTCCCCGTGCCTGACTATTTCTCGAGCGGCCACAAAACTAGCCTATGTAGTTGAATTAAACGTTCTGTTTTCTTCTGAAACTTTTCTTGAATTTATCTATGATTGGCCTACTGGGGGTTGAAAAGCTCAATAAATTGTGTGCCAGTGGTTGTGTCGCACATTGGCGGTTGTGATGCATATTTTGAGTGAAGGGAGCCGCAGCAGAGGGGTGAAAGAGTCACATTGCATCATCAGTGCTAGAAGGGAGTGGGGTTTGCAAAGAGGAGAAGGAGGATGGAGGAGGAGGAGGATGACTGTGGGGTCCTTGGTGCTTTCTGAGCTCGGGTGGTTTCTTGCAGACATCTCATGGCCCAACTAGGTAACATCATCAGTGCTAGAAGGGAGTGGGGTTTGTAAGGAGAAGGAGGAGGATGGAGGATGGAGGAGGAGGACAAGGACGAGGACTGTGGGGCCCTTGGTGCTCTCCGAGCTTGGGTGCTTTCTTGCAGACATTTCATGGCCCAACTAGTGAACATCATTAGTGCTAGAAGGGGTTGGGGTTTGCAGAGAGGGGGAGGAGGAGGAAGGAAAGGAGGAGGAAGATGTGGGGTCCTTGGTGCTCTCTGAGCTTGTTTTCTTGCAGGCATTTCATTACCCAACTAGGTAACATTAGTGCCAGAAGGTTGGGTTTGCAGGGAGGAGAAGTGGGGAGAGGGAGGAGGAGGACTGTGGGCTCCTTGGTGCTCTCTGAGCCTGGCGCTTTCCCCCCCGCAGACATTTTACGACCCAAACTAGGTAACAACATCCGTGCTCCTCTCAAGAGGAGCCTTGGTAGTACAGTGGTTTAATGCACCCTGTAATTAACACAGCTGCCTGCAATTTCTGCAGGTTCGAATCTCACCAGGCTCAAGGTTGACTCAGCCTTCCATCCTTTCTAAGGTAGGTGAAATGAGGACCCGGTTTGTGGGGGCAATAAGCTGACTTTGTATAAAATATACAAAAGGATGAAGGCTATTGCTTAATGCACTGTAAGCCGCCCTGAGTCTCCGGAGAAGGGCGGCATATAAATCAAATAAAAATCAAATAAAATAAGAGGAGGAGGAGGAGGAGAAGCCACATCCTGGCTGAAAGTTTGCCGGACTCCACCAAGCTCACCTTCACCTCTGCCGAGCCCCGGACTGTTATCAGTCGGTCTCTTGGCAACCCGGAGACGCGTCACTTCCTGAGCAGCTTTCTGCCAAGAGGTTGGTCCAGCCAGCCTGGCAGGCTCGGGCAGGGCGAAGGGGCGGTTCAACAGTTGGAGAAAGTCTTGGCTGGGGTGAGCGAGGAAGAGCCGCGTCTGCAAAAAATATTTTTTTGGGCAAGCTCGGGCGAGGCGCCGTTTATTCTTAATACCGTTTTAAATAAGGCGAGGGGAGGGCAAAGCTTTGCAAAAAAAAAGGGGGGGGGGCGCAATTCGCAGACTTGGTGCGGTTGTGGCTCTTTGGGCGAAGCGGAGTTGTGCCAAGCAGGAGGCGCCAGGGAGTTGGAGAGCTTGGAGATGCGTGCGCTCCGCGGGACGCAGAGAGGCCAGCCGGGCGCGGCGGACTCGGCGACGGATCCCATCCTCCGCGCCGGCCTCTGAACTCTCTTTCTCTCTCTTCTCTCCTCCCCGCTCCCCTGTCCTCGCCTTGCAAAGGACAAACCGCCGCAGGGGAAGAAGCGATCGCCTACGCCTTCTCCGGAGCGCGCCTGCCCCTCCGCGGACTCCTTGGCTCTGCTTTTTCCCCCCATGGCTCCTCCGCCTTTCCAGCTAAGGGGTCCGAGGAGAAAGGAGCCCCCCAAGTGAAGGGCCCCCGCCGTCCGGCTGTCCTCCGATGCCCGGCTCCCCAACGGCTCCCCCAGCATCCGTCTCTCTCTCTGGCCGGAGGCGATGAGCGCAGACTTGGACCGTCTGTCGGTGGGTTCGCGCGCCTCCAGCGCTTCTTCCTCGCCTTCCTTCGACGGTGCGGGCAAGGGGGCCGCGGGACAGGCCGGGTTGAGGAGCGGGGGCGCCGGATCCGGCCTCCGGCTTCTGTCGGCCAACGTGCGGAAGCTCCACGGGGCCCTCAACCTGCTGCTGTGCGAAGGCGAGCGGGAGCAGTTCATCCATTGCCTTAACGTCTATCACTGTCGGCGGAATGTCTACGACTTGGTGCAGACGCTCAAAGTCTTGTTGGACGGTCCGGAGAAGAGGCAGCTGCTGCCCATGTTGCGCCTGGTCATCCCTCGCTCCGACCAGCTCCTCTTCGACCAGTATACCTCGGAGGGGCTTTACTTAAAGGCGGACTTCTTGCCCACCGCCGGGGCAAGGTACGATGGGGCTGGGTCTACCAGAGTCCTCCCTCCGGCCGGCGCTGCTTCCTCCGCCCGCTTTCCCTCTCCCACCCCGGCTGCTCCTCGTCTCTGGCCTCCTTCCTTATCCTCCTCCGGCAAGTTCCGGCAAGAATTCAGCACCTCCCCGGACGGGACAGCTCCCGGAGACTCTGCGGTTGGCTTGGAGGACCTGCCAGGAGAAATCAGGCAGGTGAATCTCAAGAGGCAGAAGGCTCAAGAAGGGTTGGGTTTCAGCATCCGAGGGGGCTTCGAGCACGGCGTTGGCATCTACGTCTCCCTGGTGGAGCCGGGCTCCTTGGCGGATAAAGAGGGCCTTCGGGTGGGAGACCGGATCCTGAAGGTCAACGACAAGCCGCTGGACAAGGTGACCCACGCTGAAGCCGTCAAGGTGAGGAAGGTTGTTGTTGTTGTTATTGTTGTTAGTTGAGAAGTCATGTCCGACCCATCGCGACCCCATGGGCAACATTCCTCCTGTCTTCTACCATCCTCTGGAGATCATTTAAGGTCACGCCGACTGCTTCGGTGACTCCATCCAGCCACCTCGTTCTCTGCCGTCCCTTTCTTCTTTTGCCCTCTATCGTTCCCAGCATTAGGCTCTTCTCCAGGGAGTCCTTCCTTCTCATTAGGTGGCCAAAGCATATGAGTTTCCTCTTCAGGATCTGGCCTCCTAAAGAGCAGTCAGGGTTGATCTCCTCTAGGACTGACTGGTTGGATCGCCTTGCAGTCCAAGGGACTCACAGAAGTCTTCTTCAGCACCAGAATTCAAAGGCCTCGATTCTTTGGCACTTAACCTTCCTTATGGCCCAACTTTCACAGCCGTACATTGCAACTGGGAAAACCATAGCCTTGACTATATGCACTTTTGTTGGCAGGGTGATGTCTCCGCTTTTTAGTATGGTGTCTAGATTTGCCATAGTTTTCCTCCCCAGGAGCAAGCGTTTTTTAATTTCTTGGCTGCAGTCCCCTTCTACGGTGATCTTCGAGCCCAGGAAAATTAAGAAAATTAAGGTAGTGACTAATCCACTATCTCCACTTCTTCCCCATCTATTTGCCAGGAATTGAGGGGGCCGGATGCCATGATCTTAGTTTTCTTAATGTTGAGTTTTAAGCCAACTTTTGCATTCTCCTTCTTCACCCGCATCAAGAGGCTCTTTAGTTCCTCCTCACAGGTGAGGAGGAGGCAAGCCCAAAGCTGCCAACATCAATCTCCCCCTGTGCCAGTGCATGCCATTCCAACTTGCAATGTTGTGTTGGCCTTGGTTCTAAGTATTATGTCCCCCTCCCCGTCCATCCGTCCCCCTGGTTGAAGTGTCCTCTTAACCGAAGCAGACAGCAGAGAAAATGTAATGATTAAGACGAAGGAGAACTTGGTCAAAATATATTCCATATTCCAGGTCCCAGAATCTTTCAGAATGAGAAGTGATGGGTCAACGAGTATGGAATGCACCAAATCTCCCCAAAAATGTTAGATCTGCTTTCTCCAACAAAGTGAGAGCACCAAGTGAGGAGTCCTTGATGCTCTCTGAGCTTCGTTGCTTTAATTGCAGATGTTTCATTTCCCAAACTAGGTATCATCAAGTGCTAGAAGGGAGAGGGGTTTGCAGAGAGGAGGAGGAGGACTGTGAGGTCCTTGGTCCTCTCTGATTTTGCTTGGTTTCTTGCAGATGTTTCTAGCTTCTAGGTGTTACTAGTACTGATGATGTTACCTTGATGATGTTGGGCAATGAAACATCTGCAAAAAAACACCCAAGCTCAAATCACACCAAGGACCCCTCGTTTCAACCCTGAGCTCCAAATATTCTCCTTGGTTGTCTAGCGAGTGAGTTAGATTTCACCTGACTTCTCTAAGCGTTGACTAGGAGTTGACTTCGTTGACTAAGAATCATGGTCTCCTATTTGGAAGCTGGCTTGCCCGAGAGAATTCAGTGCTAGAAACTTGAAGGAAAAATCTCTTTCTTCCAGAGAGATATTGAAGCTAACCTAAGGACAGCCAGGGCTAGCTTTTAAAAAATTATATTCTTCCAAGATACTCCGACCACTAACATTTATATTCTAAATAAGTATGTTTCTGCTTTTTTACCAATTTCTTTGCGATAAGGTCTGATTTCAGAGATTGGTGATGCAAAAGAGCATTGGAAAACTTCACAATGAGGCTACCTTGAGTTTCTTGGATGTTAGAACATAAATTTGAGCACCTTGCTTGCTATTTTTTGAAGGCATTTTCCTCAATGGAAAGATTTGATGTCAGACGTGATTCAGGAATAAACCTAAAATTTTGTTGGAGGAAACACAGACTATTAGACACTGTTAGTATCCAATGAGAATAGTGCAGCTAATTTTAATCTAATAGTGTGTTGTTGTTTTTTAAAGCTGGCAAGCTTAGATTTTGGGGAGTGTGGGAAGAGCTGGAAGATAAGATGTAAGAAGAATCCCGATACAAACCATCTTACCTGCCCATTAAGATCTTTTCACATGTGATGTGGAAATTCGATTTATCAACCAAGAAAGCTGCAGAGTCAGCCTTTACTTCTGAAGTCCGTAGACTGAAGTTCCAGCAAATGCTTGTTGATACTTCTTAGGATTTGCATTTTTTACCAAGGATTGCAAACATTGATTGAAAGTTATGCCTTATAAGGAAAAGGGTGGACTTGAAACATCCTTTTGTAAAGGCTGTGTTAATCCAGCCACATTGAAGGTCTTCTAGTCCAGCCTTGATGTGGTCAGTAAATGCCTCCTCCTCCTCCTCCTCCTCCTTCATCTTCTTTTCCTCCTGCTCCTCTTCCTTCTCCTTCTCCTTCCTCCTCCTCATTCTTCTTCTCCTTCTCCTTCTCCTTTTCCTTCTTCTTCCTCCTCTTCCTCCGACTCTTCTCCTCCTCCTCCTCCTCCTCCTTCTTCCCTTCTCCTTCTTCCTCCTTCCTCTTCTCCTTCTCCTTTTCCTTCTTCTTCTTCCTCTTCCTCCTCTTCTTCTTCCTCCTCCTCCTCTTCTCCTCCTCCTCCTTTTCCTTTTCCTTCTCCTTCCTCCTCTTCTCCTCCTGCTCCTCTTCAACTTCTCCTCCTTCTTCTCCTTCTCCTTTTTCTTATTCTTCCTCCTCTTCCTCCTCCTCCTCTTCTCCTCCTCCTCCTCCTCCTCCTCCTCCACCTCCTTCTCCTTCCTCCTCTTCCTCCTCTTCCTCCTCTCCTCCTCCTTCTTCGATTCTCAAATACAGGGCACCCATAAATTATTTCAATGGGCTGGATTCTTTCAAAACTATCAGAAAGACTCTCCCAAGTTTAGACTAACCAAGTGTCTTGGGCATCTTCTAAATCGCGCCCTCCTAAGTTTTCACTTGAAGCTACCCGTCAATCTACGAAGTCAGCCTGGAGTCCAGAGAGCAGATCTAGATTAAAGTTGATTAAATTTTCCTTCTGAAAAAGCGCAATCAAGGGACTTTTTCACCCATTACAACTAACCAAACTAGGCGTGGTAAGGAACATACATGTGTAGGCGTGTGTGTGTGTGTGTGTGTGAGAGAGAGAGAGAGAGAGATGGAGATAATACAGTATGTTGTCAATTTTGGTGGGTCTGTCAAACGAGCCAATTTTAGTGCATTTATCCATTTTTGGTGGTTTTGCCAAAATGTAAAACTCCGAGGAAGAAATGCAGAGCCCACCAATTCTACCTCAGCTCCTAGTATGGTAGAATTATAAAATCATAGGAGCGAAAGGGACACTGAAGGTCATCTAGTCCAGCCCTCTCTTTGCCGGTAGAGTGGGAGCAGTTAGCTCCAGATCAAAAATTGCAAGGAAGGAAAGAGGAAGGGGAAAAAAAAAATCTACATCGATAGAAATCAGAATTCTCCACCGTTGACCCGACTTTATAATCCAGGCTGTCCTCGATTTACGGCCACAACTGAGCCCCAAAATTTCTGTTGTTAAGCGAGACCTTGGCTCAGCGAGTCTTGCCCCATTTTGCGACCTTTCTTGCCACCGTTGCTAAGTGAATCTCTGCAGGTGGTAAGTTAGTAACCCCGTTGTTAAGCGAATCGGGCTTCCCCATCGACTTTGCTCGTCAAAAGGTCGCAAAAGGGGGCGGCGGGGACGTGACCTTGGGAGGACATTGTGATTGTCATAAATACGAGTCAGTTGCCAAGCATCTGAATTTCGATCACCTGATCGTGGAGATGCTGCAAAGGTCTAAGTCACTTTTTTTTTTCTCCCGGAGTCGTCGTAATTTCGAACGGTCACTAAATGAACAACCGTAAGTCAAGATGTTCTGGTGGCTCGAGCAAATTGCTTTAGAAGGTGTGGGGGAAATTTGTATTTGAAAAACTTTTTCAATAAAAAAAAAAAAGAAATGATAGAAAGTATTAATTCCAGGAGAGGAAAGCAATTTTCGTTATCTCAAGAGACAAGGACAGGATGTTTAATAGGAAAAAAAAAAAAAAAAAACACAACCTCGCATTTTGCAGCAATGCTGGTATTAAAATCTCTTTCCCTACCAGCAAGATGGAAAGAGAAGTGATGGATAGCCATGCGTGATGGAAAGGCGCAGGAACAGATATTCTCGGGATAATCTTGAGTCATTTGTCCTCCCGTTTCCAGGCCCAACTTCGCTCTGTGCTAAACCTAGCCATAATTACATTGGTGTTTTTTTTTTTCCCCTCTGTAATGTGGATTTATCTATTTTTTTTTTTTCCCCAATTAGCGTTTATGTAAAATACTTGGCAAGCCCGATCGGTATATCGCAGAGCATATGTTCTTTCCTCCAATTCTTGCTAAGTAATTGAATCAGCTCGGGGGTCTATTTTTTAATATTTTATTTTCTGGAAGGAAAAAAAAAATCATTCTTAAAAAAAACAAAAATCCTGACCCTTTGTTCAAATGTCTATGGCATCCGAATCCTTTCTGGGAATAGAACAAGGATTTAGGACAGATGGTCCTCTCTCGTCAAATTTTTCTCGTCCTTGTTAAGGGATGGAAAGTAAAGATATCTTTCTTTGAACCGAGTTCAAATCCTGGGGAAATTAAGAAGTATGTCCCCTAGTAGTTTCCTTTGCAATGAGTGGAATTGATTTGTCTTCTTTTTTTCCAGAATGTTCTCTCTCTCTTTTTTTCCCTTAGTTCTCAGCTTGGCCTATAGCCGTAAATCTTTCTGGTGGTCTCTCATCCAAGTATTAATCAGGGCCATATCTGGTTTACAAAATGAAAGATTGTTTAAAGTTGCCACTTACTGTCCCATCTGACATGAAGAGTTGCAAATATTTCCTTCCTTCCTTCCTTCCTTCCTTCCTTCCTTCCTTCCTTTCTTCCTTTCTTCCTTCCTTCCTTCCTTCCTTCCTTCCTTCCTTCTCTCATCTCTCTTTCTCTTTCTCTCGCTCTCTTCCTTCCTTCCCTCCCTTGACTCCTTGA